TATGTAATGTATGTAATGTATACTTTCATTACAAACTTTAAAAAAAAAAAAAAAACAATCGCTACTGGGGCCATACATCTGATGTAATGTATACTTTCATTACAAACTTTAAAAAAAAAAAAAAAACAATCGCTACTGGGGCATGTTGTCACATACATCTGTTAAATGAACTTGATTTGTTGCACTGGTTAATGTGGCAAAGACATTCTGATTGGACATCAAGCTCTTACAATATAATTTAAGTTGAACAAACCCTTCTCTGCTTGAACACCTCCATTCGAGTGAGGTAATATAACCTGAAAATTAACATGATCAATTCATTAATGTGTACCAATGAGCAAGTCACTTGGAAAATCCTTTGTAGTCACTGTAAAAAAGAATACAGGTGAAGCTAGAGACTGCCCTGATGCTTGAATAGAACTCACAGCCTTGTGACTTTAAGTGTTCGTGTAATTTCATAGGTTTAGCAAGAATAAGGCATTCAAACTACTGTATCGAATGTTGAAAAGGAAAAGCAGATGGTAGAGATACTTACACATAGAACATGCAAGGCTACAGCCCCCTCCATTCGCTCCTGGTTGGTAAAGATATCATCAGGGAACTCATGTATACCTGCACAAAACACACACACACATTTGGCTACATGAATAATCCATTTATAACACAAAGAGCAGCGCACATGTGTCTCAGAGATTCTTCCCACTCGTTATACATCATGTAATTAAACATATGGATGACTCCAGAGGAAAATTAGTAAATGCTTTCAATCACAGACTAATTATACACAGCATAAGTTCATCTCATTAAGGTAGAATGTGCTTGCATATACTTTTGTCTCTATTAAAGGGCTAGATCACTCAAAAATGAAAATTGTGCAACATAAAGGAGATATTTTGCAGAAATGTCTGAGCTTCTCTCTTCCCTACAATGAAAGTGATTGGGGACCAAAGCTGTCAATTTTCAAAAAGGGAACAAAAGCACCAAGCGACTATATTTTGTGTCTTCTGAAGCCATATTATAAGATGCATGACAGCATGAAATTTATGTCATTATTTGATAAATAACTTGCCTATAAAATGTTGCTTGACACTCGTGGTCACCATTCACTTCCATTGTATAGAAAAGAGCAGCTTAGACATTTTGCCCAACATCTCTGTTTGTTTCCGATAAAAGAGAATGGGTTTCAAAACACATGAGGATGAGTAAATGATGACATAGTTAATTTTTTTTGGTGAAATATTCCTTTAACAGTCCAAAAAGAGTTCATTATTCATCAGCAGAACCCATACAGTGAAACATTTCTACTCTGATCATTCAGAAAAACAAAATGACTTTATCAGACGTCATTCACTGAGCTTCAGAGAGAATTGACAACTATATGACTGTGGCATTGGTGTGATTTTCAGGAGCTGTTCTTGCGGTTCTGACGGCATTACTGCTGCTCCCAGTCCATCGCTGCTCTGTTAACAAGCTATTCACTGACACAGCGTGTCACCCGGCCAGCTCCATTGATAAGCCCGCAGCCTGCCGACAGAATCGGGTCAGTGAGAGTGGCCACTTATTTGCCTGGATTCGGTTTTACATTCTCTAAGATGGTGGGAGTGACAAAGTCAGCTGTGAGCTCTCTGAAATGTTGCAATTGTGCTCGTTCCTACACAGCCCGTTGCCATGACGTCAACATCCAAGATACTACAGGCCTGATTGAAAAGCTCTGAGACCCCAGAGACTGGCTTTGTTCCATTCGGGGAAAAGCCTGATCTCTCTGTGCAAACGTGAAGCCTGATTTATTTAATTGCTGACAGAAAAATAGCTCAGAATGTGTGTAATTTTGAATGGCTGTCACTTTTTATGATTGAAAAACAGACAATATCTTGAGAGACTAAAATAAATTGCTTGTCTGATCCTCTCACACCATTTTTTTCCTCCAATATCGTTAGAAAGAATGTCTTTTTTGTGTCTATAAAAGCAAATTTAATCATTTTGCATGCTATTTTATGTTTTATTTTCATTTATGGGTATTTCTTTATCTATAGACACATTTGTTCCTAAGGAATTTTAGAAAATTAATTCTCTTAAAACCATTTTGACAAATTTTGGAGAATTCTGTCATTTGAATTATTTTTCATATTAAGTGTCATAATTACAGATATAGGACATTTTATAAGGTATATTTTATGATTGAAAGTCTGGGTCTAAGATAAGGGAAAGTAAGGGTCTTAAAAGAATAGTACACAAAATAAGTAGCCATAATTAAAAGCAGGTAAAAAGTTAGATTTTGTACAAAATATACTATATATGTGAACTTCACATAAGAAAACAAAAAAGTTGTAATTTGCTTGTTTAAAAAAAAATAAATAAATCAAACCCTGAAGTTCTGAAAAAGAACTTAAAAAGAACTTATATTTTCAGATTCAGCATTTTCACAACTGGCTGCAGTATTGCACAAGTACATATAACGTTATTTCCTCTTTGCACAAATGCAATGTTACTGTCTTGTGCTGCCACATTGTGAGCAAAGATGACAAACTACAAGCTAGTTATCAGTTTCATAAAAAGATCAACATAACAGTTTTTGTATAACATGGCAATCATTACAGGAATATTTGCAAGGGTGTTTGTGCGTGTCCATGGCTGCACAGTGCAGTGACATTCTCTCCAAGATCACCAGGGAGGTTGAATGCGTCAGCAGGCTTCACACTGCCCCCAATGCCCTAAACACCACAGAGGTGAACTCAAATAAACTAAAAGAACTCACAAAACAATGCTTTATCATCCACAAGAAAAAAGGCTCTCATCTGGTGCTTCTGTAAGTATTGTACATTTAATGACACAAATCCTTCATAATTACACACGGACAGTTCCTGAAGTGTGTGAAAAGAGAGGCTGACCCTTACTCTATGACCTCTGGGACTCCTATCAGTCTCTGTGCGATCCTATTACTTGTTTCACACACAAAAACAGTGTTTAACCCGAGTCAAAAGGCTTCTGATGACAAACAGATGAATAAAACGCTGGACCGATTGACTATTTTTATCCAAGGAACAACAGATCTGCTCTGGTGCTCTTGGTTCACATGGATTTCATTGTTGGTGTGGCCTTCATTAGAGAGTCACAGCCTCTCGTTTCTGGTCCCTTCGCAGAGCGCTCCCTGGCACAAGAGATTCTGATTAATCTAATTTCAATTACAGTGCCAATGAATAAAGCAGCACTAAACAACAGCCAGTTACTGCGAGCGGATCAATTAAAGAACACAAAACAGCAACAGAAAGATGAACTTGGCAATGTTGAAAGGGTCTACAGAAAGGTCCTTTCTGTAATTATGAAGAAGGCAAACAAACAGAAATGAATTCGAAATCTCTATATTGTACACTGGCAACAGAGTTAAAACAAATGGATGAGGCCTTGGTTCCTTTCTCAGAGCGACTGCTAGCAAAGAATTAGACAAGAACATTCCAAGCTTGTGAGAAAAGACTAAAATCACCCGGAAAGTTAGGATAGAGAAGGACAGGGCTGATTCTCAGCAGGTTTGGACCTTGCACAACCTCATCCTCCAGAGTAACAGGAGACTAATGGCCAATAGGAAGGACATGCAGACTGTCCACATACATTAACCGCTGTTAGCGCCGACCCCCTGCTCAACTCCTCATGAGGACATGAGACAGCCGTACGCATCCAAGTTCCCTTCAGAGCATTTTGTGAGCTTTGAGCTGTTTAAACAAGTCTACTTCAAAGGCTAAAAATCAGAAGATGCAATGCTTCAACTTCAAAGTAGACGAAAATGCTGCCTTTGCAGATACTATACAAAGGTAGGAAGACAAAAAGGTAACATCCTCTAAGATATCCACCAAGATGTCTTCTGGTTGGATTTTGAATGGAAAGAAAAAAAAGATTAATTTTTAAGGAATACTATTCATAAGTTTGGGGTCAGAAAGATTTTATAAGAAATTAATACTTTTTTTTAAGCAAGGACACATTAAATAAATTGATCAAAAGTGACAGTTAAGACATTTTGTATGTAACAAAATATTTCTATTTCAAATAAATGCTGATCTTTTGAACTTTTTATTCATCAAAGAATCCTGAATTTTTTTATTACAGTTTCAACAAAAATATTAAACAACACAACATTTTTTAATTATTTTAATAATTTATTATATATTGATAATACATTGATAATGATTATTAATATTAATAATCATCAAATTAGAATGATTTCTGAAGGATCATGTGACATTGAAGACAGAAGTGATGAATAATGAAAATTCTGCTTTGCCATAACAGGAATAAATTATGTTTTAAAATATATCAAAATAGAAAACTATTAAATTAAATTGTAATAATATTTCACAATATAACCACTTTACTGTATTATTAATCAAATACATGCAGCCTTTGTGAGCTGTATAAGAGTCTTGTAATGTGTGTGTATGTGTATATCATGCATATATCTAATACCCTCATGCATGCATGCAGTATATCCAAAGCTCCCTGGAATTTGTTTTAGATTATTAGACATTATGTTATTGTGCCTGGGAAGCCAGATTTATTAGGAGACAAAAACAGTTTCCTTTGGAGACAAAACACTGCCTGTTTAGTCATTGAGTGACTGGACAGTGAGGCAACAGGGCATCCTGACCTGAGGTTTCGGACACAGACACAGTTGTGGAGTAGCTGTCAGTCAAACAGAGAGAGTTATGCCGAGTTCACACTGCACGATTTTCAACTCTGTCTGGTGCAGGGTTGCCAGGTTTTCGCTACAAAACCCACCTAATTACTACTCAAAACTAGCCTGAAAATAGCCCAATTGCATTCGAGGGGGTAAAAATCGCGTTCGGGGGGTAAAATACTATTTTTTTTTTGGCGGGGTTCTCCTGGTACAATTCACATTCCAGGGCCTAAATATCAGTTATTGGGGTCGCTTCAGGGAAGTCGTGGGAAGTCGAGGGAAGTCGTGGCCTAATGGTTAGAGAGTCGGACTCATAACCCAAAGGTTGTGGGTTCGAGTCTCGTACCGGCAGGGATTATAGGTGGGGGGAGTGAATGTACAGCGCTCTCTCCCACCTTCAATACCACGACTGAGGTGCCCTTGAGCAAGGCACCGAACCCCCAACTGCTCCCCGGGCGCCGCAGCATAAATTGCTCCGGGTGTGTGTTCACGGCTGCGGGTCTGCAGCTGGATATATCTCCTTCAACCTGCTGACATAAAAAACAACCGGCGGCAATCGCAGATTTGGCAACATTGGTTCGCAAACTAGGTTTCATATAACTCCTCCCCGAAAATCCCGCTGCCGTGTATCTTGGTCTCTCATTGGCTGTAGGTCATCGCCGATGTGTTGTTCAGTCTCAACTAATTTCACACAGCGTGATTGTGAATCGGCGACAGCTCCAGATATTTAGCATGATTCCCTCAGATCGCGTCTTTGATAATTCACACTGCGTGACTGTCACTCGCGTGAACGAGCACCGATTTGCCTCCGATGTCGGGCATTTGTCGGCGATTTCACAAAACCTGTCGGCGAGTGAAAAATCGGGCTAATATCGTGCAGTGTGAACTCGGCATTAGACATAACAGCTTATCTGAGAGTCGGACCTCTGTAATTCCAATCAACAGG